CCCCATAAAGTCTAGAGCCACCTCTGACAATGCCAGATCTCTCCTTTATGAATGGAGCATTTCTATATCTTTTTTTATCAGTATTTGTTAATTAGATAAACATTTAATTCTAGCTTACTCACAGCTTACAACAGCTAGCATGCATTAGGCACAAAGAGCGATACTACAGACATTTTATATATTTGTGAATCATCATGAATTAGCAGCAAGAAATATTCTTTCATTTTCAAAAGATAATTAATAACAATATAGAAATTGACAGTAGCAGTAATTTCTGTTCTTCTTCCCGAAGCACACACAGTGTACTTTCTTTAAAATAGGGGTTCTCTGGAGCAACACAGGCTTGCACTACATGTGGGGGAGCCATAAACCTGGGATGCCATTTCTGTGAATCCCATGATTTGTTCCCTGTCTTCTTCACTGCTTGTGTCCTGGTCCTCCTCTGCACTTTCTAGGACCCTTTTCTTTCACTTTCTCTCTACAGAGGAGTTTAATACTATTATGTCTGAGTTCCTAGGGAAGATGGCTGATCCTTTCCAGGTTTCAGACTTCAGGGGCCGCAAGCAGACCGCCTCTCCTACCCCCTCTTTAGTTCTCTCTGACTCTACCCTCTTTGCCATTATTCAGCCTGTGAAGGAGCATTCTGCTTCCCAAGAATCCACTCCGGAAGAAGATTTGTCTGTAGACATTTCTAACAAGCTCAACCACTGTTTCTGTTCTTGTAGATAAGGTGCGCACATGTTTACAGCTAGGGCTATTAGTGTGGACCCTTTCAAAGGTCACAAGTCTGGGGTCCATTAAAATGCCTAAACCTCCAAAAACCTTCCCAGTTACATAGTGACATAGTATTTGAGGTTGAATAAAGACATAAGTCCATCAAGTCCAACCTATTGCTGATGTGTGCGTATGTTTAGGTCTATGTATCATCTCATTCTTATGAGTACTTGTACCCCTGTATATTACGTTACCTCAGGAAATCGTCCAAAAGCTTGTTGAACGATTCCACACTCTTAGCTGAAATCACTGCCGGTGGAAGTGAGTTCCATACCCTAAACGCTCTTACTGTGAAGAACCCCCTTCGCCCCTTGTGCTGGAATTTTCTTTTTCACCAATTTTAGGTGATGGCCTCTAGTTTTTGTAATGGAGTTAATAACAACGGGCGGACGGCAAGTGGTTAATGACGAAGGTGATAATAAAGAGACACTCCGCAGAGAATAGAGATGTGCTAGGCAATAATAATGTTATGATATCAAACATATCATAATATTGATGCTTTATGGGGGAACAGTATTTATGTAAAGAGGGGTAACACGGTGTCATCTGATGAGCATACCTCTTTAATATATATGTGCTATATTTTATATATGTATATTAACGATTAATCCCTCGATTAATCGTTAATTTTTTTGATCGATCAAAATTCTTTTGATCCGTACTCACCTCTCCGCTGGCTTCCGGGTCTTCCGCCGGAGATCCGGTGACGTCACGGACATCGACGTCACCTGACTCCTCCCCCCTTCCCCAAGTGGCTGTCAGCTAACGAAGGGAAGGGGGAGGAGTCCGTTGACGTCGATGTCCGTGACGTCACTGGACTCCTCCCCCTTCCCTTCGTTACCCGATGGAGCCGCTTGGGCCGGTGAGTACACATCCCAACTCTCCCGGCCGCCCGGACAGAAATAAATCGCAACTACAGGACGTATCTCAAGCATATTATTTGTGGATTATTATGCAGTCTGTGTACTGGAAGAGGCTTTACCTGCTATAAAGAGCCCTGGAATCTACAACATTTTATAGCATGCTCATGGGCCCCCTGGAGTCTGGGCCCTTGGACAGCTGCCCGTTCTGTAACTATTATAATCCACTCCTGGTCTGACCACCTGTGGACACTATTGAGACAACTCTGCAATGAAATAGAAACATAAAGGGCAATGCAGGGGCTGCAGAGATGAATCACAAGACTCTCTGTAGCTCTAGTCACAAACAGCTGTCTCCTTTTCCTTTTTGCACACTGCCATCAGTAAATTATGACGGTTATTTTGGGATAATGAAATGTAACTTGGTTGGTGACACAAGGGGTGCAGCCTGTTCCCAGGGACGTGTGATGTTTACTGTGTGATTTAGGTGTGGGATATAAAGCCGTTTGATGATTGGTGTAATTCCATGTAGGCCCACTAGAGGGCACCCTGTGATCTGTGTGGTATTATTATTCTGATACAATACTGTCTCAGCTTGCACTTTAATTGATGCTGGTGACCCCTCTCTATACAGCACAGGGGATTTTCCCTCAAATAGGAAGTGAAGTAAAATCTCCCTATTTGGACAAAGACAGCAAAGAAAAGAAAAAAACAACAACACATTCCAGGCCTTTTAACAACTCCACATGCTATGCAACAAACAAAAGTCATAGATACTCTGTAACAATGAAGGACAATGTTTGATGACTAGAGACTTGTACAGGATCTGTGTGTGTGTTATATTGTGCTGTGTTTTCACCGTCTTCATAGAGACAAGTTGATATTATTTACAAAGCTGTCATATTAATGGATCACGGTCTTGTTCCCTTATCAGGAATCATGTCGGCTCCACACCTCTCAAGCTGCTGCCGGTCTCCGTGTCATGGTGGCTATACAGGCGGAGTCACCTTTGTGCTGGGCGCTCTAGATGGAGATCCTGTGAAGTTAAATCTCTTGAAAGATTATGTCTGTAAATCTCTGTATGGTCTGGTCCATGGCTTCCGAGCAACCTCCTTCAACATTATCCATTTCTCCCATGTGGTAAGTGCTCCCTCCTTCATTCACAGTGTCTGGGGTCATACGCAGTCCATAGGTGTCCCTGATGGGGAGCCGGTCCAGAGCAATGATGTGTAGCTGATGATTGAGCGAGTGCATGTAGACAGGAAGTGGCTGAACACGTGTGGAGGAGATCAGCAGCACTGAAACCGAAAAACGTTTAGAAAAAAGGTGAAAAGTTATTAGGAAAACATGGTCATTGATACTCAGCGCTTAATCAAACCACAAGACATCCACTTAGGGGTTACTGCTACTTTTACATTATTGTTTGTCACTTTCACAGTTTACATGTTTTGCTGATTTAACCACTTCAAGACCAGGTGTTTAGACCCCCTTCATGGCCAGGCCATTTTTCAGTGTTCAGCGCTGCAGTCCTTTGACTGACGTTTATTCCGTCATGCAACGCTGTACTGAAATGAATTTTATACCATTTTTTGGGGACAGATAGGGCTTTATTTTGGGGGTATTTAATCACCACTGGGGTTTTTATTTTTTATTATAATTAGGAAAAATTACAGAAAATTTTGAAAAAAAAAAGTTTTTTTTTACATTATGTTAGGAAACATTTATTATTACCCAGTTTTTTGGTAAAATATAAAAGATCGGGTCACGTCGGGTAAATAGACACCAAACATGTCAAGCTTTAAAATTGCGCGCACCCGCGAAATACGCGCGAGCAGAAAAAAATGCCGTCTGGAGACGGCAACCCACCAATGCTGCAGTGCCGCCCGTCCATTTTTTACAACGGGCGGACGGCAAGTGGTTAATGACGAAGGTGATAATAAAGAGACACTCCGCAGAGAATAGAGATGTGCTAGGCAATAATAATGTTATGATATCAAACATATCATAATATTGATGCTTTATGGGGGAACAGTATTTATGTAAAGAGGGGTAACACGGTGTCATCTGATGAGCATACCTCTTTAATATATATGTGCTATATTTTATATATGTATATTAACGATTAATCCCTCGATTAATCGTTAATTTTTTTGATCGATCAAAATTCTTTTGATCCGTACTCACCTCTCCGCTGGCTTCCGGGTCTTCCGCCGGAGATCCGGTGACGTCACGGACATCGACGTCACCTGACTCCTCCCCCCTTCCCCAAGTGGCTGTCAGCTAACGAAGGGAAGGGGGAGGAGTCCGTTGACGTCGATGTCCGTGACGTCACTGGACTCCTCCCCCTTCCCTTCGTTACCCGATGGAGCCGCTTGGGCCGGTGAGTACACATCCCAACTCTCCCGGCCGCCCGGACAGAAATAAATCGCAACTACAGGACGTATCTCAAGCATATTATTTGTGGATTATTATGCAGTCTGTGTACTGGAAGAGGCTTTACCTGCTATAAAGAGCCCTGGAATCTACAACATTTTATAGCATGCTCATGGGCCCCCTGGAGTCTGGGCCCTTGGACAGCTGCCCGTTCTGTAACTATTATAATCCACTCCTGGTCTGACCACCTGTGGACACTATTGAGACAACTCTGCAATGAAATAGAAACATAAAGGGCAATGCAGGGGCTGCAGAGATGAATCACAAGACTCTCTGTAGCTCTAGTCACAAACAGCTGTCTCCTTTTCCTTTTTGCACACTGCCATCAGTAAATTATGACGGTTATTTTGGGATAATGAAATGTAACTTGGTTGGTGACACAAGGGGTGCAGCCTGTTCCCAGGGACGTGTGATGTTTACTGTGTGATTTAGGTGTGGGATATAAAGCCGTTTGATGATTGGTGTAATTCCATGTAGGCCCACTAGAGGGCACCCTGTGATCTGTGTGGTATTATTATTCTGATACAATACTGTCTCAGCTTGCACTTTAATTGATGCTGGTGACCCCTCTCTATACAGCACAGGGGATTTTCCCTCAAATAGGAAGTGAAGTAAAATCTCCCTATTTGGACAAAGACAGCAAAGAAAAGAAAAAAACAACAACACATTCCAGGCCTTTTAACAACTCCACATGCTATGCAACAAACAAAAGTCATAGATACTCTGTAACAATGAAGGACAATGTTTGATGACTAGAGACTTGTACAGGATCTGTGTGTGTGTTATATTGTGCTGTGTTTTCACCGTCTTCATAGAGACAAGTTGATATTATTTACAAAGCTGTCATATTAATGGATCACGGTCTTGTTCCCTTATCAGGAATCATGTCGGCTCCACACCTCTCAAGCTGCTGCCGGTCTCCGTGTCATGGTGGCTATACAGGCGGAGTCACCTTTGTGCTGGGCGCTCTAGATGGAGATCCTGTGAAGTTAAATCTCTTGAAAGATTATGTCTGTAAATCTCTGTATGGTCTGGTCCATGGCTTCCGAGCAACCTCCTTCAACATTATCCATTTCTCCCATGTGGTAAGTGCTCCCTCCTTCATTCACAGTGTCTGGGGTCATACGCAGTCCATAGGTGTCCCTGATGGGGAGCCGGTCCAGAGCAATGATGTGTAGCTGATGATTGAGCGAGTGCATGTAGACAGGAAGTGGCTGAACACGTGTGGAGGAGATCAGCAGCACTGAAACCGAAAAACGTTTAGAAAAAAGGTGAAAAGTTATTAGGAAAACATGGTCATTGATACTCAGCGCTTAATCAAACCACAAGACATCCACTTAGGGGTTACTGCTACTTTTACATTATTGTTTGTCACTTTCACAGTTTACATGTTTTGCTGATTTAACCACTTCAAGACCAGGTGTTTAGACCCCCTTCATGGCCAGGCCATTTTTCAGTGTTCAGCGCTGCAGTCCTTTGACTGACGTTTATTCCGTCATGCAACGCTGTACTGAAATGAATTTTATACCATTTTTTGGGGACAGATAGGGCTTTATTTTGGGGGTATTTAATATTGTCCTTATTTTAGTAAATGAATTGATTACTCATTGAAGGCCATGTAGAGATTAGTCACTGAAGGCCAGGTAGCGATTACTCATTAGAGGACAGGCAGAGATGAGTCATTAGAAGCCAGGTAGGGATGAGTCATTAGAGGCCAGGTAGAGATTGCTCGCTAGAGGCCAGGTAGAGATTGCTCACTAGAGGCCAGGAAGAGATTGCTCACTAGAGGCCAGGTAGAGATTGCTCACCAGAGGCCAGGTAGAGATTGCTCACCAGAGGCCAGGTAGAGATTGCTCACCAGAGGCCAGGTAGAGATTGCTCACCAGAGGCCAGGTAGAGATTGCTCACCAGAGGCCAGGTAGAGATTGCTCACTAGAGGCTAGGTAGAGATTGCTCACTAGAGGCCAGGTAGAGATTGCTCACTAGAGGCCAGGTAGAGATTGCTCACTAGAGGCCAGGTAGAGATTGCTCACCAGAGGCCAGGTAGAGATTGCTCACCAGAGGCCAGGTAGAGATTGCTAACTAGAGGCCAGGTAGAGATTGCTCACTAGAGGCTAGGTAGAGATTGCTCACTAGAGGCCAGGTAGAGATTGCTCACTAGAGGCCAGGTAGAGATTGCTCACTAGAGGCCAGGTAGAGATTACTCATTAGAGGCCAGGTAGAGATTACTCATTAGAGGCCAGGTAGAGATTACTCATTAGAGGCCAGGTAGAGATTACTCATTAGAGGCCAGGTAGAGATGACTCATTAGAGGCCAGGTAGAGATGACTCATTAGAGGCCAGGTAGAGATGACTCATTAGAGGC